GCTTGGACAACAGATGATCTTTTTTAAAAAATCTCTGCCTTTATGTGTGTAAGTTTAACTTCTTTCGCACCGTACGTTGCCAGGTGCAGGTGAAGGATAACGAACTAATTTCAAAAAGCAGTTCTTTAGAAATGAGTTTTCAATTGTAGATGATTTAGAAGTTCATAGCTACAGCCGCTTCCTAATATCGGAATGAAGAACGTTCCAGACCGCAGCAGAAGTGCATCTGACACCACACGATGCAGTGACCGTCGTTGAGTGCAGGTCCAAACTTCAAGCTGCCTCTATCCCATCCAATCACACTCCTCTGTTTATCTCACAAACACCACGCTCCTGCCTATGATTCCTGAGCCATAGCCAGGGAGGAAGACTTGAGTTGGTTTCTCCCTCGCCTACAACAGTGGTATTTCTTAGGTGACACCTTTGACAGACGCAGTTCAACGTCATACCCGGGAAAATTAATTCAGAATAATTATACTTTTCATTAGGTTCCTGAAAACTGGAATGCATGTACGTTTGTAAAATATCGTTCCAAGAGTCTACGTTGCGAATCATCAAAATATGAATACGTCCCTGCTTCCTTCCAGTGAAAATAAGCTCCAAGTTGACTCTGTATGTTGTGAATTAAGACAATGCTCGCTAAACAACTAACGTTTGTAAAATATAAGAATTAGACCAAGAGCTTTTGAATGAGTTATTGATCATGAAATCAGTCAATTAATGTCGGACATACGTGATTTAGTCACACATTCAAGTCTTATTTACAATTTACAGTAGTGCTGGATATAAAACATTATAGACAGTAGTCAACAACACTGACCTTAAAGGGAAAATAAATTTATAAAAATTTATGTTTCAGACTATGCCCCTTTTCATAGCATAAGAAGGGCGATGCCGTTTGACATCTGCAATGAAAAGTGGCCATTGCTAGAAGCATCACTTATTATACATATCTTTTTTCCCTTTCATGGCAGTGTTATTGACGATTTTTTTAGTGTTTGTTATTTGTACTTGTCCACTACTGTCAATGCTGTATCACATTTTTTGTGTGTGTTTCATACACTGGATGGGGAGTGGTGGGGCAGTGGTAAGCACACTAAGCTATGAACCGTTCAACCTGATGTCAATTTCCGGACACAGCTACAATGAGTGGTGAGTGAGATATGAACCGGTCCAGATTACCCTCCCCTCTCCCATCCTCAATATGCCCTGTCCAGTGTGGTGAAGTATGGTCAGACAACCCCCACGTCTTGATCCAGCAGCAGATTGACAAAGTGCTGTAAATGATTACTTTTAAATCATACATTTTCTGAAACTGAAAATCTACAGCTCTTTAAAAACAACACTCCAACCAGTAGAATACACATCTATAAGGATTTGCATGTAGAGGGCGCTTGCTGAAATGCCTCAACAACTCAAAGCACCTGTCCTGTCGCAGTCTAGCCAAGGGGACCCCTGGGGCAACTGTCCTTGTGTGGCACAACGTGTACACAGCACCATCCTGGAAATGGGCATTAGTCTGGCAGGATATTCTTAGGTTTTTTCGGTAAAGTCACGTAGGTAAAACATTAAAATTAATACAAGTAAAATAAAATAAAAATCACGACGTTTCGGAGGCAACACAAGCTTCCGTCTTCAGGTGGAACCGTCACAGCCACGACAGCTGTATCAAGTACAAATAAGATTACAACAGCTACCACTCCGTATATATAATGGTTGGAGAGGGGGGGGGGTTCCACCTGAAGACGGAAGCTTGTGTTGCCTCCGAAACGTCGTGATTTTTATTTTACTTTTATTAATTTTAATGTTTTACCTACGTGACTTTACCGAAAAAAACATAAGAATATGAATATGAGTCTGGCAGTCTGGCCTTACCCCTGTACCTCCGATTAGCACGGTCGACATACAGTCGGGAGACTTTCATCCAGCTGAGAAGTAGCAAAGAGCTGTCATTAATCCTCGTTATTTCTCTACTCTGGCTAAGTTGGAAGTAGACACAAAGCTGAAAGTGAACGTGCACGATTTTTTTCCTTTGTACGGCGTATATCTTAATAAAGTAGCCCTGTGATAATGCTTGACTTAGCAAGCTGGCAAAAGAGAGCACGAAACCCCGACTCGCATGGAGCCAGATATAAATCAATGCTCGCACTGTGGGACAATTCACGGGGAAAAATAATAATAAACTCATGGCCGTGGTCCTGAAAACATACGACCATCAACACAGTGTGCACTGATTTACGATAGAGAATTATGGAAGAAGAAAAAAACATTTGATTTTAGAAAGTGGTAGACTTCGCAGAAACGTGTATAATTACAAATAAAAGGAAAAGACATATAAATGCATTACTCGCTATTTTCTTTTCGTCTTGCTGAGTTAGTGAGTATTGAAGCGCTGCATTCAAGAATGCAACCTCATGGCTTGTCATCTTCTGATTGAAAACAAGGGCATGTCTTACTTTGTTGTGTTACCTCAGTGTTTGAAAGCGGGCCAGTCAGCGCTCTCTATTGCCAGCTAAGATACATTACTATGAATACATTATGTATTTCGTCTTATTAGATTAGGCCTATTGCAGTGGCATGCATTATGAACATACATTTGGCATATGAAGCAATGGCATGGGATGGCCTTCATCTTGCATTGGATAGACCGTGGATCACGATGATGAAGACACTTTTCGACTATGCAGGTTGTTGCAACGATTGCTAATTGTTAAATGCTGATATGGGCAACTTTATTTTTTTCATCATCATCACCAGCAGCAGCCATGCTCTGTCTACTGCTGGATGAAGGCCTCCCCACAGAGTCACAATCATCCCTGACGGTCCTACACTGCTGCAATCTTTCGCACGTTTTTGGCACGTTGTCTCATCACTCCATCTCCACGTGCTATTCCTTGTCAGTACAATGCTGCGGGTTGCGTGGGTTAATACTCTTAGGTTTTTTCGGTAAAGTCACGTAGGTAAAATTTTTAAATTAATAAAAGTAAAATAAAACAAATTAAAAAATTCACGACGTTTCGGAAGCAACACAAGCCTCCGTCTTCAGGTGGAAAGCTTCAAAGCTTCAAATCTAGAATTGCGTGGGGTACTTAACATTACTTCATAACGCCGGTCGGTGCAGTTTGGTGAAGGCGTCAGAGCATAGGAGTGCAATACAACAATGGGTTGTGCTGTATTGCATTGCCCTCTGATGTCCAACGTGAAGCCCCGCCATGTATAAACACCTGCTATGCTTGTGGTCACCCCTCCAAATAACTGCCCAGGCTCTCACTGATTATCAAATGAGTTCGGCCGCATTTCTAGTAACGCTCTAAACATCCAACGTGGTTATTGCACGAGGCAGTTTGTGTGTATTTTACAGCTACAGTGAGACAACACAATTGAACAGGGTGGGGAGTGGGGTGCGGGGGATTTGCTCTTAGTTTAATTGCGTTGATGTTTTGAAGGACGTGGCTCTGGTGCCACGATAGGCCAATAAAATGCAGCACGGCACAGATGTGAGGCCACATCCCGTTATGGGAGTTAGTGTGTTAGTCGGCTGCCTCATTTGCATGCACAATGTTAAGACTTGGAAGGCGTGCACTCAATGTTATGGCCAAGACCTTATTTGTATGGTAAATCGATAGTTTAGGTCAGGGGTGAATTTCTGAAGGCATCTGTTTCAAACATAATCCGCATCTAGATGCCATCATCAACAAATCCATGAGATGATTGTTATCCAATTGAAGAATGTATTTTCTTTGAATCTATGCATTCAGTTTGCAACATTTATATTTTTTCAGAGCAAATCAAGGGCGCCACGGTGGCGAGATATTAACTACCTTGTCTGGTATACAGGAGGACGTGGGTTCACTCCCGACCCTGACGCCTGCTGTATATTTGGAGTTCGCATGATCTCACCGTGGTCACGTGGATACGCCACCTTGTTGAGCCATCATTTGTGATAGCGAGGTCGCTTCTGAAAGAGAGCTATTATAGCCCAGTGGGCCTTACAAGTGAGGGAAAAAAGTATTTGATCCCTGCTGATTTTGTACGTTTGCCTACTGACAAATAAATTATCAGTCTATAATTTTAATGGTCGGTTTATTTGAACAGTGAGAGACAGAATAACAACAACAAAATCCAGAAAAACGCATGTCAAAAATGCTATAAATTGATTTGCATTTTAATGAGGGAAATAAGTCTTTGACCCCTCTGCAAAACATGACTTATTACTTGGTGACTGATCATTTTATAGACTGATCGTTTCTTTGTCAGTGGGCAAACGTACAAAATCAGCAGGGGATCAAATACTTTTTTCTCTCACTGTACCTGGTAAAAATATTTTTTTATTTTCTTTGTTGATTGAATACGGAGCTTTCATGATGAAATAGTAAGCACATCGGACTTGCAATGCAGAGGTTGCCGATTCGATTTCCCGGCGTGGCAGTTTGACACACATTTCGTTAAGCCCCTCCTCGTGCTGTACTGTTTACCGCAGCGGACTTGCAACCCAGAGGTTCGCCCAGTTCGATTCGTACTCACTGGCACGGCAGTGGCAACAATGGGGCATTTTTATTGAAAACCCCCCCCCCCCATTGGATACAATCACAGTTAGTCAGTCAGCTTGCTCGTGTGTGGTGAGTCGAAGTGAGTGCACTGCCAGCTCTGGCAAGACATTGCGACAATCCGGGGACTCCCTCTTGTGGAGGCACTTCCGCCAGCAGTAGCGTGAGAAGGGAATTGCAGGGCTGCTCTTGTGCCTTTTGATTAAGCAGCGCTCGATGTTGAACATTCAAAAATGCACCCGTAAATAACACCGAATATGCACGAATCTTTACGCGGTGCATTTAATGATATTCTCTGGGAATTTAAAATGATTGTAATTGTAAAGGTTCACACACACACTCAACGATCGATGATGTTTTATTCATTAGCAATTTAAATGTTTTAAAAATCAGTAGCACATGTCCAATAATTAACCGCAATTATTCATGATTGAAAACTATAATGGTGCTCAGTGAGATGAATGACATGTGGGAATTTTTCTATTCGCTCGTGGGCAAAGTGAACCACTGCCTTCAACATCTGCCAGCGGAATGGTAGGAACCGTCCGTTTGCGAGAAGAATGGCTGTAACGGTGAGTGTAATGAAATGCTCGATTGGTTCACACTAATAATACAAACGCTCATGATGAGTGCACGGTTACAGCCACCAACATCGATCATCTCTGGGGCATGGCCCGTGGCAATGCTGGAGCCGCCTGCTTGCCCATGAATGTGAACACCAGCTCGCCGCACATGCTGGAATATTTGAACTGAAATGCAACTGAATATTGTGAGTACGTAAAATAAAAGTCAATATGAACTGCATAGAGCAGTAACATAATTACACTATGAGCAGTCGTGAAATAACCGATGCAATACTATTCTATGTTTGGGCCTATTCAATTCACTTCGAAGTGACTGCTCGCTAGAGATGTCTATTGACGGATGACTGAATTACAATCCGGTATCTTTAAAAATCACCATCATCGTCATCGTCGTACTCATATTTACGCGTGGAAAGATGTGCGTCTGCCATTTCGCTTTAATCTCAAGAAGCGCCGATAGGAGAACGAGACTCTGTGTACACGGTCGCCTTCCTGCAGTGGCAAGACGGTGCCATCGCAGTCGATGTAGAGTCGTCACATCACATGGACAATTCTATTCCAGCAAACAGTACGACGGACACAAAAAACGGATTACAATTACCGCAGTTTTCACTTTGTTGCAGCACGTGCAACGCACACTTTACATTTTTTTTAAGTTGTTACAAGCGTCAAATCAACACGGCCGTGCGTTCCCACCAGGCTACCTGGCTCCGCCCGCCGCTTTCGACCCCAATTTCATGACCTTGGTGACCGGCGAGCCGATGCCAATCGGCACGGTGCCGCCACTGATGCTGCTGACCATCACACGCCTGCCGCTCTGCGGTTTCGACCGCCTGTTGCCGGGGTACACGGCCGAGGTGTGGAACGCGTGGTAGCTGTCGCAATGCTCCTCCAGACGGTGGCTCACGCACAACAGCGCCAGGAGCATGGCGCCGCACGACATCGCCGCAGTGGGCCACATCATCCACTGCAGCAGAGCCTTGGAGTCGATGGCAGTGCGGTTGAGGAGGGCGTCGTCCTGATGCACGCGGGCGTTGTAGAAGCATCGGAAGGGCGTGTGGTTGAGGGCCTTGAAGGACGACCTCAGCGGGTCGATCACGGCGTGAGCGTCGACCTGGTCTCGGTAGCAACTGGGCAGGAAGTAGCACTGCGGGATGAGGAGGAGATGGTTAGCGTGGGAAGAGAAATACACCGAAGGAGAGTACGCGTTGGACGTTTGATTTGTCCTCTTAGGGTTTTTTCGGTGAAGTCACGTAGGTAAAAAAGAAAATTAATAATTTTAATTTTATTTTTCAGGTAATTAAAATTAATAATTTTAATTTTATTTTTAGGTAAAAATAAAATAAAATTGTATTATTTTAATTTTAAAATTAATAATTTTAATTTTATTTTTTACCTACGTGATTTTACCGAAAAAGCCTAAGAGTATGAATCCTTGCAGTCACGAAAGCTTCAAATCTAGAATTAGTTTGATTTGTCCGTTTAAAGGTTCGCGACGAAAGCACTGAGCCACGCCGTTCCATCTTAGAATAGGGTGGTGAGAAAATGTTCCATCGCTGGTTTTGCTGAATATCCCACGGAAAAAAAATCCTATAGGACGCTATAACACTTTTTTATCCTATTAAGACGATTTCCTCTAACACACTTCCCTCCAATTCCAGTTGGAATGGTATCGCTAAGGGCTTTGGTTGCGAATGTCAAACAGATTTTTCAAAACATCCAACCAACGTTGCTTCGGTAGCGATAAAAGTGTCGGTCAGTCAGTTATCCGGCTGTTCATCATTGAGCTGTACCGATGTGTGTACAGTATGGTGAACTTCTTTCGCACAGTACGTAGCCAATCGGAGGTGCGATGCGCTTTCAGGTCGTCGTGCGTGTGAGTTTTTGGAATGATGTCCGACGTTTTGCCCCATGTGACGGGAAGCTATTTCAGGAACTGTGCTACTTACTGCCCAGGAACTGAAATAGCTTCTTGTGGCAGCTTCCCTCGTGAAATGAATGTTCTTGAAGCTCCCCCAGCGCTCGGGTCAAAAATATTGTGGACATTGTGCCAAACAACACGTGGCAGTACAACCGGGAAATACATCCTGGGGGAGCCACCGCCATCAACACGGCACACTCAACACAAGCTCACAAATCGTGCATTGGTGAATAAAGCCTCAACACATTCATCAAAACAGACTGCGTTCAGAGTAAAAGTACACGATGGCCGACGTTTCGAGGGCGATGGCACTTCTTCACAGCACACAGGCCAGAGAGGTAGAAAGGCCAGAGAGGTAAATCATATGGTTGGAGGAGGGGGGGGGGGGAAGTGAAGTCGAATGAATATTTTTTTAAAGCATTCAAATATTACTACGTGACTTTACCGAAAGAATCAAAGAGTATGGATTCCTGCAGTCACGATAGCTTCAAATCAAGATTCAATCAAATATAGTTTTTTTTTGTCGAGAAGGAGGCTAACCTGTTGGCGATAATGATTAACAAATCCACGCAGGCCTCCTTGGAACCTCAACCTTGAAAGTGTGTGTATTTGTGGTCGACTTAGCCTTAAAACGAGTACCTGCTGCGGTGTGTAAACATCGCCACGCGGGAGACAAAGGCGGCCTGGCGTGGTGCTGGCCACCCACCCCCTCGTGTGCCGTTCCGGCCATCATCTGTGCTCGCCAACAGCACTTGCCCCAACAGTTTGTTACGGTAATCTTGGTTATTTCGGTAAAGTCACGTAGATAGAAAAAAACAATTAAAATTTAAAGAGCTTTTTCTCTCCGCCTGATGCAGACCGCTTGTGTTGCGAACGAAACATAGTGGGTTTTTTGCTTTTATTATTTTTAATTAATTGTAATTTCATTTTTATTTTCTATCTACGTGACTTTACCGAAAGAACCAAGAATATGAATTCCTGCAGTCACGAAAGTTTTAAAGACAAAATGTATGTTTGTTACGGCTATACGGAGGGGCTATTTGTCTTTTGTCTCTTTGAATTTCCATCCTGGGCTATTAAACGTCGTGAGTCGGTGTGGCCCTTTGGCAGCCCCTTGTCGTTTAGTCCGCTCCTTCTCGAGCGAGGCACCTGCGAGCTGGAGGATATGGACTGCTCGTCGCGATGCAGCAGGACTTTGCGTCCCCACGGCGTCACGTTGACGTAGACCTGCAGGCACGGGTAGGTAGAACGCCCCTTGCAGTAGGGGCCGCACTCGAAGGCGCAGTCAATCCACTTGGAGATCTCGGCCGAGATCACCGTGCAGTTCGCCTCCTCGCTACCCTGGCTGCGGATGAAATCGGGAGCACAGCGTTGGCACGCAATGGTCCGACTGTGTCCGTCCATTATGAAGGTCGCACTCGTTACGCACGCACAAGGTGCTTGCCACTAATTCAAATGAACCACAGTGACTTGCCGATCTCGTCAAAGGAGCACGAAACATCACGCGAACTCATCACTGCATCGCGCGCTTTCAGATGCGCTTCTGCGGCCGTCTGGAGCGCTCTTCCTTCCGATGTTAGGAAGCCACTGGAGCTATGCACTTTTAAATAATCTAGAAATTGAAAGCTAATTTATTTAGAACAGTTTTTTGTGTGTGTTTAGTTAATTGTACATCCCCCGCACCTCTTAATTAGCGCCACCCCCGGTTAGTATCGCTCTCTCCCTCGGTGTCCTCTCCTGCCTGGGAGGGCAGCCTTTCTCCTGAACGGGCAGGGGTGGCCAGCTTGGTGACCGGGGGCCTGGCTACGTCCGGTGCGAAAGAAGTTCAACATTCGTCCATAACATACAAGGCTCCCTGTTGAATTTCCGGACCGCAACCAAGGCACGTGTCTCAAGTCGCTACGAAGGAGACACGTTCCGAACCGACCACGATGGGAAAATAAATTCAACACATTTGTCAATAATTGCCTCAAAAGGAGACAAATAAACGCATGTGACATTTAAGGCAAATGGTGCATCTTCAGTGCACGCTTGTGTGTGCTTCGTAAGAGGGGCTATTGCCTGAAATGTAAACTATTGATTTGAAGCTTTCGTGACTGCAGGAATCCATACTCTTTGGTTATTTCGGTAAAGTCACGCAGGTAGAAAAATCATAGATCACGACGTTTCGATCGCAACACAAGCGGTCGTCCTCAGGTGGGACAACCACAGCACGATTGCTTGTGTTGTGATCGAAACGTCGTGATCTATGATTTTTCTACCTACGTGACTTTACCGAAAGAACCAAAGAGTATGTCAACTATTCTATACATACTTATACATCTTCCCTCCCCTTTTATGGTAGCATTGTTGACAAACGTGCCGGATTGTTGCTGTTTGTGCTTGTGCAGCACTGTCAATGCAGCCTTACCAAATAATTTGACCGAAATAGGTTCCATCTGCTTCTACGCATATACAGGTGTGTTAATGGTCGTTGCCGCCGTGTTAATGGTCAGCACAGTGAGTGGGCTTGCAACCCAGAAGTCGCGCCCGTTCGATTATTTCTCCCGGCACGGCAGTTGCAACAATTCTGGCACCTTTCATGAGTGACCTCCCGCCTCTGTCCGCCACAATGAAGTCCAGCAGCAACAGCAGCAGGGTCGTGTGTGGTATGGGTGAAGTGTAGGCACTCCCACCTCTTCAAAAACGTCTGACCAGCGTGATAAAGTAGATCGACCCTACTCTCCCCAAGGGGCTCTCGAAAAGTTCCTTCTCGTGGGGGCCCCCTTCCGCCAGCAGTGGCGCGAGCAAGCAATTGCGGGGCTGCGCCTTCACCTCCTCGCCGATTACGAGGAACGCACGGGTGACGTAATGGATTAAAAATGACACGGTTAAAACCTTGATATGAATTTCACGGGGCACTACATTCTCTGTTTACCCAGGGCCCACAATTTACGATAAGGACAACCCCACCCCCCCTCAAATGCATGATTCAATGCAGGTATCATGAGCGTAAAAATACGTTTTAATCAACAACTTGCTTAATTATTCACAGGATATGAAAACCACATTTTAGTTGTCTTTATGTGCAGGTATTCGGTGATTGGAGACACCTACAGTATGTGGTACACTTGAAACCCCAGTTTAACCATTGCCAACTGCCCAGATTTGAACACATGATCTCTCAGCGGTGCGGATGGAATGCTTGGACATGGGCATGCAACATAGCTACGTCATCCTAGGACCCCAATGCGCGATGCATGGAAAGCAAGAAACAAAAAGAGAACCAGGGCAACCGACCACACTAAAGAGGGAAGGCCACTTTAAAGAGATGCTGCATCGTTATAAGCTACAGTTGTAATTGTTGTTGTTGTAATATCTACATAGACTATGCATGTACATGCGTAAAGACAGTGCGTCAACTAGGAGACGAGTGGTGACAACAGGATAGGGAGAGTGAAGGGATGATTGCAAGCTCCAGAAAGGTTCGAGAACTTGCCGGAGAGTTCGAGAAGGAAAGGCGGGACCAAGGGCGGGGGTTGGTCACGCCGGGGATAAAAGAGGGGCGAGGAACGAGGTTGGGGGCTGTCTGGTGCGGACTTGGGGCTGTCGTCGCTGTCTTCTTGTCGTGACTGTCTTCTCATCCTGACTGTCTTATTGTCCTGACTGTATTCACCGTCTCCACATTGGCACTTTCGCACTGCCGCCCTCCTAAGCCACGTTAAAGTTCCATAAAAATAACCCTCTACAGTTCGAGTCCGAATTCTTTACACTTGCACAAGAGTGAGATGGATTGTGGGATCACGGGACGGTGAGCGATGGCGATTGGGTCAGAAGTCTTTTCATCCAGCAGTGGCTAAACAATGGCTGACAATGATGATGATGATGATTACGTGAATGTATTTGTATGATGTTGGAAATGTGTGTGCGTGATACGGTAAAATAAAACACACCCTGAAATAAGGTGACCGAATTTATTGAAGGGCTCGAATTTATCGAAGGACACGTGGTGAGCTGGCAGCGCCTCCCACTTTTACATAACTACGCCCACGCAACCGCCCAGCACCTCCCACACAGTGAGCAGATTCGCTTTTTCTGCTGGCGGCCCCAAACACTACAGCTCGTCTCGTAATAATAACAAAAAAATGTCAACTTGTAGCAACCCAGTTGTCACACTCAATCTTTCAAGAGAGGGAACGTGACTAGCGGCAAGGCAGCCAGCCAGACGGTGCCAACAATTGGGCCGAAATCTGCGGGCCGGAATAATATGAAGGCGTTATCGGCCAATGAATGCGTGTTTACATGTGGGAGTAAACCATAGCACCCGAAGGAAACGAACTGGAACAGGTGGAGCCCACATTTGCCGGTTCATATTCTCCTGGAAAACCAGGATATGGCACCTTCTCGATGCCCATTGGAAGAAAGTTTCACAATATTTGTGCGATCCAACAAACCTCGCCTCCACAGTGCTGATTTACAAATGTGCGCCACCATCAGATAGCCCCACCCACTACTCATGTAGCTCCACCCACTACTCAGGTAGCTCCACCCACTACTCAGGTAGCTCCACCCACTACTCATGTAGCCCCACCCACTACTCAGGTAGCTCCACCCACTACTCAGGTAGCTCCACTCACTACTCATGTAGCTCCACCCACTACTCAGGTAGCTCCACCCACTACTCATGTAGCTCCACCCACTACTCATGTAGCTCCACCCACTACTCAGGTAGCCCCACCCACTACTCAGGTAGCTCCTCCCACTACTCATGTAGCCCCACCCACTACTCAGGTAGCCCCACCCACTACTCATGTAGCTCCACCCACTACTCATGTAGCTCCACCCACTACTCAGGTAGCTCCACCCACTACTCATGTAGCCCCACCCACAACTCAGGTAGCTCCACCCACTACTCAGGTAGCCCCTCCCACTACTCAGGTAGCTCCACCCACTACTCATGTAGCTCCACCCACTACTCAGGTATCTCCTCCCACTACTCATGTAGCTCCACCCACTACTCATGTAGCTCCACCCACTACTCATGTAGCTCCACCCACTACTCAGGTAGCTCCACCCACTACTCATGTAGCTCCACCCACTACTCATGTAGCTCCACCCACTACTCAGGTAGCTCCACCCACTACTCAGGTAGCCCCACCCACTACTCATGTAGCTCCACCCACTACTCATGTAGCTCCACCCACTACTCAGGTAGCTCCACCCACTACTCAGGTAGCCCCACCCACTGCTCAGGTAGCTCCACCCACTACTCAGGTAGCCCCACCCACTACTCAGGTAGCTCCACCCACTACTCATGTAGCTCCACCCACTACTCATGTAGCTCCACCCACTACTCATGTAGCTCCACCCACTACTCAGGTAGCCCCACCCACTACTCATGTAGCCCCACCCACTACTCATGTAGCCCCACCCACTACTCATGTAGCCCCACCCACTACTCAGGTAGCCCCACCCACTACTCATGTAGCACCACCCACTACTCAGGTAGCTCCACCCACTACTCATGTAGCTCCACCCACTACTCAGGTAGCCCCACCCACTACTCAGGTAGCTCCACCCACTGCTCATGTAGCTCCACCCACTACTCAGGAAGCTCCACCCACTACTCAGGTAGCCCCACCCACTACTCATGTAGCTCCACCCACTACTCAGGTAGCTCCACCCACTACTCATGTAGCCCCACCCACTACTCATGTAGCTCCACCCACTACTCATGTAGCCCCACCCACTACTCATGTAGCTCCACCCACTACTCATGTAGCACCACCCACTACTCAGGTAGCTCCACCCACTACTCATGTAGCTCCACCCACTACTCATGTAGCTCCACCCACTACTCAGGTAGCTCCACCCACTACTCATGTAGCCCCACCCACAACTCAGGTAGCTCCACCCACTACTCAGGTAGCCCCTCCCACTACTCAGGTAGCTCCACCCACTACTCATGTAGCTCCACCCACTACTCAGGTAGCTCCTCCCACTACTCATGTAGCTCCACCCACTACTCATGTAGCTCCACCCACTACTCATGTAGCTCCACCCACTACTCAGGTAGCTCCACCCACTACTCATGTAGCTCCACCCACTACTCATGTAGCTCCACCCACTACTCAGGTAGCTCCACCCACTACTCAGGTAGCCCCACCCACTACTCATGTAGCTCCACCTACTACTCATGTAGCTCCACCCACTACTCAGGTAGCTCCACCCACTACTCAGGTAGCCCCACCCACTGCTCAGGTAGCTCCACCCACTACTCAGGTAGCCCCACCCACTACTCAGGTAGCTCCACCCACTACTCATGTAGCTCCACCCACTACTCATGTAGCTCCACCCACTACTCATGTAGCTCCACCCACTACTCAGGTAGCCCCACCCACTACTCATGTAGCCCCACCCACTACTCATGTAGCCCCACCCACTACTCATTTAGCCCCACCCACTACTCAGGTAGCCCCACCCACTACTCATGTAGCCCCACCCACTACTCAGGTAGCTCCACCCACTACTCATGTAGCTCCACCCACTACTCAGGTAGCCCCACCCACTACTCAGGTAGCTCCACCCACTGCTCATGTAGCTCCACCCACTGCTCAGGAAGCTCCACCCACTACTCAGGTAGCCCCACCCACTACTCATGTAGCTCCACCCACTACTCAGGTAGCTCCACCCACTACTCATGTAGCCCCACCCACTACTCATGTAGCTCCACCCACTACTCATGTAGCCCCACCCACTACTCATGTAGCTCCACCCACTACTCATGTAGCACCACCCACTACTCAGGTAGCTCCACCCACTACTCATGTAGCTCCACCCACTACTCAGGTAGCTCCACCCACTACTCATGTAGCTCCACCCACTACTCATGTAGCTCCACCCACTACTCAGGTAGCTCCACCCACTACTCATGTAGCTCCACCCACTACTCAGGTAGCTCCACCCACTACTCATGTAGCCCCACCCACTACTCAGGTAGCTCCACCCACTACTCATGTAGCCCCACCCACTACTCAGGTAGCTCCACCCACTACTCATGTAGCTCCACCCACTACTCATGTAGCTGCACCCACTACTCAGGTAGCCCCACCCACTACTCATGTAGCTCCACCCACTACTCATGTAGCCCCACCCGCTACTCATGTAGCTCCACCCACTACTCATGTAGCCCCACCCGCTACTCATGTAGCTCCACCCACTACTCATGTAGCCCCACCCACTACTCATGTAGCCCCACCCACTACTCAGGTAGCCCCATCCACTACTCATGTAGCTCCACCCACAACTCAGGTAGCTCCACCCACTACTCAGGTAGCTCCACCCACTACTCAGGTAGCCCCACCCACTACTCATGTAGCTCCACCCACTACTCATGTAGCTCCACCCACTAAGGTATATCCGCCCGTTGCTTCTATCATGAGTCGAGCATGAAGGCATACAAATACTGAACTAGGGACAACATCACAATTCTCACAAATATTTAATGGGGATCAGGGACAGCGTTTCTGAAACCACCGGGCTTGTCCCGGCGAAAGCAAACAATTTAGAAGCCTGAATCCCTGAAACGTTCCTGCTTATCGATCGACCGACATCGTAACAGACGCACCCGTTCATTATGGGCCGGAGTACCAAGGTCCCCACGATGAAGTACATGATGATTGAGATCGCCACCATGATGAGTCCCAGCAGCATGGTACGCATCTCAGCGGCGGTCATCTGCTCCTTGATGGGAGCCTTGACCCTGGGGGCGACTCTCTCCATCTCTTGCTCCTGTACCAGCTGATTGATCTTCATGCTGTGTGGAGAGCATCATAAGAAGAGACACATATTCATCTTCCGCGTTCTTTCGGTAAAGTCACGTAGAAGGGAAGTAATAAAATAATAAAAATAAAACATAATAAAATAATTCTCACGACGTTTCGGCCGCAACGCAAGCAGCCGTCCGTTTTTTTTTCATTCTTCACCTGAGGACGGCTGCTTGCATTGTGGCCGAAACGTCGTGATAATTATTTTACTATGTTTTATTTTTATTATTTTATTACTTCCCTTCTACGTGACTTTACCGAAAGAACCAAGAAGATGAATCTCTGCAGTCACGAAAGCTTTAAATCGAAAATACATGATATTGTTATTATGAATATAAAACACATGCGAACAGCCATTTGGCGAAAGCAACACGTCACGCATGGCGCTGGCCACATCACCCACTCGTACATCACGCCGACCTTAATACGTGCTCGCTAACAGCAATTTCCCCATGGCTATAGTGTGGATCTTCGTCTTTGGGTGAATGTGAACTCTTCGGTGATCCTCGCAGTGGCTTTTGGCTAAGCATCGAACAAAGACGGGCACTGCATCGGGCGCCTTCAGATGCGCTTCTGCGGCCGTCTGGAACGATCTTCCTTCCGAAATTAGGAAGCTACTGGAGCTATGCACTTTTAAATCATCGAGATTGAAAACTCGTTTCTTTACAACTGCTTTGTGTTTGGTATGTTGTCCTTCTCCCACACACCCGATTAGCACGGTTGGCTGCATACAGCGCGAAAGTAGTTCAACATACATACATATAAAATGAGAGTGCTTGTTTGTCTTTGTCGAGGCTTGCATCGTGTGTATGTTGAACTTATTTACGTAGCCAACCATGCTAATCGGAGGTGCGGTCAGGTATGACAGAAGACCCGAGTAGAGGGCCGCTGTGAGAGAGAATAGCGACCTTGAACCTGATCCGGGCAGTGACCGGGACATAATTGAGTGATTTGAGTGCATATCACGTCAACACGCCCACTAACATCTGTTGCTGGAGGCACTTCAGTTTTCCACTTAGTATATCGGGAAGCCATTGAGTTGATCGCCAAACTGGATGTCTCATTGTGAGCTTTCCCAATCATATGACAGACGAGGTGCGGTGGATGAGTTGGCGTGTTCGTGTTCACGACAATGCGCAACAAATGGTTCCGCAGTCGCTTAAAGTTTGTCGACTTTCTTTGTTGCTGTCCGCATGAGTATGGCGTTGAAGTAGGGTGCTACGGTGGCGAGATGTTAACTGCCTCGCCTGGTATGCAGGAGGTCGTGGGTTCTATCCCAACCCTGACACCTGCTGGGTGGAGATGGGAGGGTGAGGAGGGGCTGGGTGGGGAGGGGAGGGGAGGGTGGGGCTAGGCGGGGGGTGGGAGGGGAGGGGCTGGTCACCCCGTGGTGCCCTTATAAAACTCAACGTTTAACCTACTCACGCCGGCTTGTGCCCCCCCTCACAGTCGGGCATATTTGCGAAATACACCACGCCGCCGTTGACCCTGGCCATTGACCGAGCAACCCAACGTTCCTACCAGCTCCCTCCGCAGGAATGTGTTTGTAAAACATGAATAAAAAGTCCATCCCATGTGTTAGTGATTTTTTTAATATTTTAGGCAGGAAATTAGTTTTCAATTTTTTTTTTCTGGGTTGGGACCCCCAGACAGCCTGGCAGATTTTGTCCCCCCCCCCCAATGTTGACTCCATGGCTACGGTCTTGGTGGAAGCCAGCGGTGGACAACGCCTGGCTAAGTGTGGTGGAATTCAATCGCTGCCCAGTCGGAGTACTTTGGATGTACATGAGTTTAAAAGAAGATCATTGGACCAGAACCAGCGCTCCAGTTTAGAGGTGCAAACTTCCCAGCATCTGTATATTTGGAGCAGCAATTATGACTGCGAAGAGCTGAGTGTTACCGGAAATACGTGCGGCATTGGACAGTGAAGCGGTCAATGCGGCGGTCGAATGGCGACAGATACGCCGCAGAGAGCGTAGATATGACAGCAGTCAACGTGGAAACAGAAGATGAGGAGGTTCCAACCGATACAACAACTTCCACCTTATATATATAAAAAAACTATCACACCAAACCAATATACCGTGGTACTCCGCACTCCTAGTAAATGATAATTCTGCCCAATGTGTTGGAAGAACGTTACCAACAATGCATCATTGAGATAAAAAAAACACATTCCTGCGAAGGGAGCTAGTAGGAACGTTGGGTTGCTCGGTCAATGGCCAGGGTCAACGGCGGCGTGGTGTATTCCGCAAATATGCCCGACTGTGAGGGCGGTCACAAGCCGTCGTGAGTAGGTTAAACGTTGAGTTTTATAAGGGCACCACGGGGTGACCAGCCCTCCCCTCCTCACCCAGCCCCACCCCTCCCACCCCCCACCTAGCCCCACCCTCCCCTCCCCACCCCACCCAGCCCCTCCCCACCCTCCCCACCCAGCCCCTCCCCACCCTACCCTCTCCACCCAGCCCCACCCCTCCCATTTTTGGATGCACGGACGGACACAACAATCCCCTGTGGGCTGGTGTAACCAGGATGTTCCTACCAGTATAACTGCTCTTGTATACTCGTCTGCATTCCATGCCAATATCTTGCACACACATCCATCACTCGTTCAGACTGTGTTATGTCTACATCATTTAGAGCACAAGGTGCTACATACGCCTGAGTAGTTAATGTCGTATTACAATATTATCCACAAATAATATTACATACACAAATACAATATTATATACAAATAATGTGAAACACAAATAATATCGATTAGTTGGTAATGGTGGTGCGTCTGCAGTGATGCAAAGTACAATATTTCTTGCCACATGTACCTGCATAGCTTAACACGTAGGCTTTCGCGACCAAAATCATCCACAATAAGAGGTTTTTTTTCGGTTAGATCGCGCAAAAATATAAATGTGTCGTTAAAACCCGCCACCACCCGACACAGCCAACTAGTAAGGGTTGTCACGTAAACAGAACGTGCCAATTCGTCACGAGTACAGCACACCGGTGTGTTGGAGAGCCACATTTATCTATTTACGCGCTCTAACCCAAAAAAACTCTATTATACCTGCATATTTGATCATCTGCAGCATAGTTGTAACTGTCAACAACACATCACAGCACATATATTTAAGTGTAAAATAGCTAGAGTTCTATTCGTGCAAAAGCTTATTTGAGATCAGGCTGTGTTATACTCTCATTATATAATTGAAAACAGTACAGTACTAACAAAGTAATATAATATATTCGTTATCACTCACACATAGACGTAGTGACGTACATTTAAATAATCTTGTCATTAACAGACGACACAATAGCACACAACTGAAAAAAATAATTTCACCACAAACTTTGACAACTGCTGAAAGTAAACCCCTATTAATTACAAACGTGTTCATATGTGAACTCTGCCGATTAGAATATATCCATTGCCTCGCATAAAAATACAGCTCTTTGTCAATCCACTGTTGAAGCACTTAGCACGCGATTACAATAAATCAATCAATATACATGAGGACAAATACTTTGGTTTAACACGTAGGCTTTCGCGACCAATAGTATTAATAATTAAGGTTTTTGGGTGTGATCGCGTAAGTATCAATGTGCCGTAAACCTCCAACACCCGACACAGCCAGGAAGGTTTGTCACATAAACAAAACGTGGTAATTATGTATTACTTCAGCCCACCGGTGTGTTGGAGAGTAAATCCACAACATTTACAATTTGAGTTAACGACGTTTTGCTGCAAATTACATCCAGCATCATCGGGCGTTGTGCAAATCGCCCGACACACCGGTGGGCTGAAGTAGTAACTAATTATCGCGTTGTTTACGTGACAAACCTTAGCGGCTCTGTCGGGTGGTGGAGGGTTACGACACATTTATACTTACGCAATCTAACCCACACACACATTTATACGCGATCTAACCCACACACACATTTATACGCGATCTAACCCACACACACATTTATACGCGATCTAACCCACACACACATTTATACGTGATCTAACCCACACACACATTTATACGCGATCTAACCCACATACACATGTATACGCGATCTAACCCACACATACATTTATACGCGTTCTAACCCAAAACCTTAATAATGGACAAATACTTTACCCGATTCCGAATGGCGCCGTTGGAATTGGCTGAATGTTTGTTTCCGACTCCATGGCTGCTGCATTCGTTGAGTAACAACAGAGGGCCCAGGACGGAATGTCACTGCACGGCTGTCTCCCGCTCACCGTCACCCTCCCGCGGCGCATCCGGAATCATTATATCAAATAACGAGCGCAGTGGCACATTTTGATGCGGTATAAAATATTCACGTGGAGGGCCACAGATTCCATAACAGCGATAATGTTGTTTCAGTCGCGTTTCATTCTCATTCCCCGTTGTTTTGTTGTTGTTGTTGTTGTTATTAAACAAGGCTATTCAGACACTGTCTCCCCGACAGACCTGGTCTGCACCTGAGGACGGCTGCTTGCGTTGTGGCCGAAACGTCGTGAGAATTATTTTATTATGTTTTATTATGATTATTATTTTATTATTTCCCTTCTACGTGACTTTACTGAAAGAGTCAAGAAGAAGGCTAACCAGGCTCTGTGGATGTCGCCCGCGGATGTGTAACATACACAACGTAAGAGAAGTTTTTTTGGGGGTTAGATCGTGTAAATATAAATCTGTCGTTAAACCCGCCACCACCCGACACAGCCAATGAGTAAGGTTCGTCACGTCAACAGGACGCGCCAATTAGTTACTACTTCAGCACACCGGTGTGTTGGAGAGTAAAACTCACGACGTTTACAATTTGAGTAGTACGACGTTTCGCTGGTGATTACAACCAGCTTCATCAGGCGATGAGCCAGACTCGTGATGAAGTCTTCCTGTTTCGGTCTTAAACAGACTAAAGGTGATGTCACCACACAACGTGTAGCAAAACAGAGCTGCAATTAATGGCCTGGCTTGCAAGCTTGCTTCATTTGTATTTGAAATGTTTTTTTCTGCATCACGTTTTCCTGAAATACACTACAGTCCGATGACAGGCAAGGTTCGATAATTGTACTTTTGCCCATGATTGCTGGCTACAAGGCAATACTTAAAAAAAAATTCGTAATTATTTACACCTCTTGATAAATTCACTGCCGGATGGAGGCCTCCAGACACGACCATGGGGGTCATTTGGCCAATGCTGGTTAGCGAGGGCGGTGGGTGGAGGGGGTCAGAAACCATTTCACGTACCACTTGGCACTGACGTGAGCCATGGCCTGGAATCAAACTCAGCTCTCCAGATCCATAGCGCAGTGCGAACACTCCGAACCACTGCACTCCGACTCCCATGCAAGACCGCGGTGTCAACTACTCACCTGGCTGAAGGAGGCATCGAAGACGCTTGGGTTTTCTTTGCCGTGCCAAAGTCTCTTAAACTCCAAAACAATCTTCTTGGTTCTTTCGGTAAAGTCACGTAGAATGGAAATAATAAAATAATACAAATAAAACATAATAAAATAATTCTCACGACGTTTCAGCCACAACGCAAGCAGCCGTCCTCAGGTGAAGAACAGGTCTGTCGAGAAGACAGAGTCATACAGACTCTGTCTTCTCGACATACCAGTCATTCAGACATTGTCTTTCCGACAGACCTGTTCTTCACCTGAGGACGGCTGCTTGCGTTGTGGCCGAAACGTCGTGAGAATTATTTTATTATGTTTAAGTTTTATTATTTTTTTATTTCCATTCTACGTGACTTTACCGAAAGAACCAAGAAGATGAATCCCTGCAGTCATTAAAGCTTTAAATCGAAATCCAAAACAATCTTTAAGCACGAGACAAAGTCATCATAATCTGGAGTGGACCACCCGGTACCTACCACACTGCACCGGATAGAACTCGACGTGAAGCAGTCAGGCGAATTTATGGTCCAGCACTTACTGATTCACTTCACTCACTCACTCATCCGTGGTCATTCACCTCCTCGGCAATCTTCTATCGCTACTACCGTGGTAATTTACCGTTACTCCTGAACTTCGCTCGTTCATTTCCCCCCATCCATGTCGAGGACTCGGTTCTCCCACACTGACAGTTTCGACTCGTCAACGCAGTGCGACCACCACACTTTGCAATTCTCTCCTATAACTTATTTTTCCAAACGCTTACAATAGCCTTACTCCATTGCAGCAACGTGTTGACTCTCGCATATTACAACTTTGACAGTGCTGACCGTCGCTGACCGCTTTATGTTTTTTGGGCTTTGTTCTTGTACTCAACAACCACACAAAGCACTTCATCTTTGTTTCTGCGTTGATGTTTGTGTAAGGAGCTGACTCGCCAAATTTGCGTGAGCACCTGCGAAACACGTGGGTCATTTTATTGACGCAATTAATCCGTTCATTGTTATTCTCCGTACGAAGTGTTGGCTATACGGCGTGCGTCGCTTGTCATCTTACTCTCGCCTACAAAAGAATCGCGCACATGCACAGCCCTTGTTGTCAACCCACTGCTGGATGAGGGCCTCCCCACGCTAATCAAATCGTGCCGGATTGTTTGACTATATTCAACCCAGCTGGACTGCAATATAGGTTGAAGGCAGGGAGGGGGGGGGGCATATAAGTACAGTACAGCAATTTATTTTGCTGTACTGCCTTTCTGCTGCCCACAACGTAGTTCCACAGCCTATATCAACTGTTATGCATGGTGGTTGCCCTTCCGAGCACGATCACGGCTCAAAATCCTGCTTAGCTTCCAAGATCTGATGAGATTGGGTGGACTCTGGGCAATTTCGGTCAAAGGCCATATCATTATTTGTAAATATTGTCCACTTGTTTTCATCATCATCATGATACCGTTTGTCCCATTGACCACCACTACCTATCGATCCAGGTCCGTCTTGCAAATTAGACTATCGCGGTCTCTTGAGTTCTCACCTGGTTAAACGCAACAATATAAACTCTTAACTTGAGAGACAAAATGAGCATGACGACGAGCCGCTGTGTACACCGTGGCAAGACTGCAACACCCGGCTGCATTGGGGCCACAGTCATCCGGAATTATTAATTTTGCTTGCACAAAATAATAATCTGCGTTACTCTTAGGTCTTTTCGGTAAAGTCACGTAGGTTAAAAATCAATAATAAAAATAATATTAGAAATAATAGAAATTAAATAATAAATCACGACGTTTCGGAGGCAACACAAGCTTATGTCTTCAGGTGGAACAGTCACAGCACAATTACTTGATACAGCAATTGTGCTGTGACTGTTCCACCTGAAGACGGAAGATTGTGTTGCCTCCGAAACGTCGTGATTTATTATTTTATTTCTTATATTATTTATATTATTTACCTACGTGACTTTACCGAAAAGACCTAAGAGTATGAATCCTTGCAGTCACGAAAGCTTCAAATCTAGAAATAATCTGCGTTGTTGTTGCGAATATGGGAATGCAATCACCAATAAGGAGAAAATACGCCTCCTTTCCATACGAAATGTTTTTGTTATGTAAGAATACTGTAACTTGCTTGAATTAAACCAATGCTGAAAACATCATTCCCAGAAGACTGTGTGGCCGATGTGATGTCTAAAAACCATGCTTTTATTTCTTTTATATGCAGGGACAGATATTTATGGGAAGCAGACGTAGTGTCTGTCGCTAGCAGACCTCCCAATCAATGATTGTGAATATAATACAATCTATACATGGCGAGACAACCCATCTTAACAAAGAAGTCAGCGTAGGCTGAAAAAAAACTCAAGTTTCACACAACACAGAGAAACGTGTACAAAACGCACTCAGCCTTGTGCATTAAGAGAGCCACGATGCATTTCTTCGGGAACTGTTGATGGATTTTTTTTTGCACAATGCACAAGGCTGGCTGCTTCTTGCACACGTTGCGTTGCGATTGTGATCAGTGATTGAGGCAGGAATCCATCCCGTGTGTGCCGAGGCATGTCAGAGCGTTTATTTCCTTCTTGACTCGGAGATTAGAATCCTGCGCAGGGCGCATTCGTGTGGGAATACAAGAACAACTTGCCATGCGATCTTCACAATATTCAGCAAAGGCATTACACTATTGTGGTCTATTTTACACCAGTGGTTTTCTGTTGAACACGCCTAAGAGCTATTATCACACATATCTCATTTTAGTTTTCGCTCATTAAACACTCGCTTATTATACACACGAGACACTAATTATGCTGCCTGTGGTGTAATGGTTAGCACACCGCAATTGCAACCCAGAGGACGCCGGTTTAAATGCGATCTCACGGTGCAGCAGTTTTAACAATTGGCAAGTTTCTTAAATCCACTACCGCCACCGCTAACCACACTTGCAATACTTATGGGGACACCACAGTTGATTTATCGGTAGGTCGCGTGTGGTGGCATAAAGTTGTGGTCCTCTCACCGATCCCCAATTATGTGGCCACTGTGGAAGAGGAGGCTAAATTGCCCTTTCAAGGCGTTCTCTAGAGCTGCCTCTGGTGGAGGCTCTTCTGCCAGCACTGGCACGCGTACGCATGCACCTATTACTTTGTTTCTATACTTGCTTATTTGATTTAGTTGCCTAAGACCACAGCAGTCTCTGATGTTAAGCCGGGTAAAGCCTGGATAGTGCTCTGATTGTAGACTGCCGGTGAGTGCCAGGTGTTGTTGGAGTGGGCTGCGAGGTGGCCAGGAGGTGGTGGCGTGGCGATGATCACAAAGAAGAGCTGTCGTTATTTTCCAATGCAGTAGAATGACTATTGACAACTCCCTAAGTGCTCGTTGAGATGACGACACCTTGAGTGCTCTCTGAGATAATGCGATGCAACGCGATGACAGTTCAAAGTGGAAATGTAATCTTTCTATGACATTACGACACCGATAGCACAAGTGAAATAACATTGGGAAATACAAAGAATAAAATGCATAGATACGACCGAAGGAAAAAAAGACATTCAACTGTGACCCACAAGTAAAATTCATGCCTGAAAATAGAAATTTCCTCCGAACATGATTTCGAACCGAATCTCTGGAAAACACAAACGGCGCATCACGGCAAATGCACGTGCTTTTCTCCCTTGAGGCTGTTTCCCACAGCGCGGAAAGACACGATGGCTATGCCAGCCGAGCGCAAAGAGGCCCGGCTTTTGGACCTGCCGCTGCCACCACCGTCGCCGCCGGCCACGTCGCTCCTCCAGGGACGCCGGGCGACCGGACGCGCGGTGTCGGAGTGCGCCTTGCGGCGGTGCTGAATCGTCTGTTTGTTCTCGCACACGCCCGCCAGCGTGTGACTCAAGGCCAGGAGGAACAGGAGGGCGGCACCGATGGCCACGGCCAAGAGGGGCCACAGAAGCCACTGCAGCAGAGATTCGGAGTCGCTGGCCGATCGGCTGAACAGGGCGTCGTCGTGGTGCACGCGGGCGTTGTAGAAGCATCGGAAGGGCGTGCGGTTGAGGGCCCTGAAGGACGACTTCAGTGGCTCAATCACCGCGGTGGCATCCGCGTGGTCCCGGTAGCACTTGGGCAACTGGTAGCACTGTAGGGAAACGATCATCGGCGCTCCGTTGTCGTCACTGTCACTGTGCTTCTTTGCCCAGGAAAAGCTCTCTCGATCTAAAAACGCCACTTCAGGAGGGGCCTAACAAGGCTTTGCAGTAGGGGGCGATGTTGCGTTGTGTAATCTCAATTGAGTAATTTGCAGGTATTGTAATTGGCGAGCATTCGGATGCTTTGGCAAATGCTAGTTACATTGCATGTTCTTTTTAACTATCGGAGGAAACTGTAGACCCAGGAGGAAACCCATGCAGAATAGGAAGAAAACATCCAAAAAATTAACACAGAAAAGCACGAGGCACACGCGTTACCCCTGTGCCACCCTGCCACACAGGCTGGATACAGAGTAGGAATAGAAAGATTCTACCACTCCCCACACATCCACGCACCACCAAGAATTGGCACGTTTCTTGGATTCTTGACCCGAGCTGTGTGGATTCTCCAATATCTCTGCATGAGGATTTGAGTGTTATATTCTCCATTGAGTGAGTTTTTCTGGGTAATACGGTTTCCTCCCACATGCTAAAGATGCATACAAAAATGTTCCAAACATTCCGATGCAGGACCCTCCTTAAAAAAGAGTCTTGAGACACATTGAGGTTTTCTTAGTTATGTAAAGGGCATTATTTTTTATACTAAAAGTGTGCCTAGCTTAGCACAAGTGGTATGGTGATATCACTGCCACTTAGCAGTGCATGACAGATGTTGTTGTCTGTGTGTGCATGGCTTAGAACTATGTTTTCTTTCTCTCTGTTCTAAAAAGGGCAATTGCCCACAATGTTAGCTTTCTGCAAACATATTTTTGGTCACAAATCAGTGTCAATAAAGACGATTGTGATACTTCTAGGAATGTGTGGAGACGGTGCGGAATTACGATTTAAACCGTTGAATCCTTGCAGTACAATGCCTGTGTCCATATTGCTGAAGAGTAGATCATTGTGCCACCAGTGAGGTCAACCTCGGTCAAAACTTTAACACTTTGGCCTGTCACTTTGGAGGTCCTGACTTAAGCACAACCATTCTACCAATGGCTCTTTGATTCCGAGTGAAGTGAGGATTTAGGCCATCGATCCTTGCAACGCAACGCCGCTTTGTCCTTCTTGCCCCAAAGAGAAGACCATTCACCCATCGACAAAGCTTAACCTTGGTATTAACCCCAGCACTTTGAGGTGTCACGCTCGACGGCTTTGACTTAAGCGCAGACATTCTACCGATGGCCCTTTGCCACTGGGCGTCAACGACCCCTTTGAGTCTCGTTCTCGACCCAAACACCGATCAAGCACTCATCCCCCTCCACCCGCTACCCGTCCCGTCTTCTCGAGCGAGGCTGGCGCGCGCACCTGCGAGCTGGAAGATATGGACTGCTCGTCGCGATGTAGCAGAACCTTGCGTCCCCACGGCGTCACGTTGACGTAGACCTGCAGGCACGGGTAGCTCGAGACGCCCTTGCAGTAGGGGCCGCACTCGAAGGCGCAGTCAATCCACTTGGGGATCTCGGCCGAGATCACCGTGCAGTTCGCCTCCGTGCTGCCCCGGCTGCGGAAGAGAAAAAGAAAGGCGCAATCTAACTCCCCCCAAAAAAAACCTGTATTATGAACCGTTGTCTTTGTTGACACTGATTTGTGAGCAAAGATGTGTTCGCAGCAGGCTAACGTTGTGGGTAAATGACCCTTTGAAGAACAGAGATTAGATTTTTTTCTTTGATGAAGGAAGTGCACACACAGACAACAACATCTGGCACGCACTGCTAATTGTCTGTGATATCAATGTACCGCTTGTGCCAAGCTCGGTGCACTTTTAGGCAGCTTGGTAACCCATTCATCCTGCAGTGGATTGACCATGGCTCAGGATGATGATGATGATGGTGGTGGTGCATGGCTGGGTGGGTGACGTGAACGTATAGGCGGCTTGGTAACCCATTCATCCTGAAGTGGATTGACCATGGCTCAGGATGATGATGATGGTGGTGGTGCATGGCTGGGTGGGTGACGTGAACGTATAGGCGGCTTGGTAACCCATTCATCCTGCAGTGGCTTGACCATGGCTCAGAATGATGATGATGATGGTGGTGCATGGCTGGGTGGGTGACGTGAACGTAGGCGGCTTGGTAACCCATTCATCCTGCAGTGGATTGACCATGGCTCAGGATGATGATGATGATGGTGGTGGTGGTGTATGGCTGGGTGGGTGACGTGAACGTAGGCGGCTTGGTAACCCATTTATCCTGCAGTGGATTGACCATGGCTCAGGATGATGATGATGGTGGTGGTGGTGCATGGCTGGGTGGGTGACATGAACGTAGGCGGCTTGGTAACCCATTCATCCTGCAGTGGATTGACCATGGCTCAGGATGATGATGATGATGGTGGTGGTGCATGGCTGGGTGGGTGACGTGAACGTAGGCGGCTTGGTAACCCATTCATCCTGCAGTGGATTGACCATGGCTCAGGATGATGATGATGATGGTGGTGGTGGTGTATGGCTGGGTGGGTGACGTGAACGTAGGCGGCTTGGTAACCCATTTATCCTGCAGTGGATTGACTATGGCTCAGGATGATGATGGTGGTGGTGGTGGTGCATGGCTGGGTGGGTGACGTGAACGTATAGGCGGCTTGGTAACCCATTCATCCTGCAGTGGATTGACCATGGCTCAGGATGATGATGATGATGGTGGTGGTGCATGGCTGGGTGGGTGACATGAACGTAGGCGGCTTGGTAACCCATTCATCCTGCAGTGGATTGACCATGGCTCAGGATGATGATGATGATGGTGGTGGTGCATGGCTGGGTGGGTGACATGAACGTAGGCGGCTTGGTAACCCATTCATCCGGCAGTGGATTGACCATGGCTCAGGATGATGATGATGATGGTGGTGGTGGTGGTGCATGGCTGGGTGGGTGACGTGAACGACGTTTGTGTCGCATGTTGACAAAAAAACACCCCACGCCACAGCACACACACACACACGTTGGTGGTGGGGGTGGTGGGGGCCTTTGGGCGCACACCGCACCCGTTGAGCAAGGGCTGCACGACGGTTATGGAGAGGATGAAGAACACGGCGATTCCCAGGCCGACCATCGCCAGCGCCAGGAGCACGACTCGTGCCTCCGCCGCCGACAGCTTCACGTTCTTGGGCTGGCGGCCCATTCTGGCCGGAGCCTCCTCCTCCTCCTGCCCGCCAGCATCGCCGAGGTCGTCGCGGATGAGGATTCTGCGTATTCGTTGCGCGGCACCCAACGGAGAGAAACAAAGGCAGCCGTGGTTTTTTGTGCTCGTGGCGCTTGTTGTTGTTGTGCAAGTTGTGGTCCAGTGTTTTTAAAAATATAATTATGTATTTAATAATTTGCCTTCATTTTCATTTTACCGCTCTCCGATTAGCACGGATGGCTACGTACGGTGCGAAAGAAGTCCAACATACAAGCGTACACGAGGCATAATGGTGAAGTGTAATGGAAAAGCACCAACGAGTGAGTTAGTGTCCCACGCAGGGGGTGAGCGTTATGAGTGGAAGAGACACAGAGGAGGGGTGATCCTACCTGGAGTGTTGTGGTGGTAGGAAAATGCTGGTTTTGAAGGTGTGGTGTGTGTGATGGACAACGTTCAGACGCTGTCTCCCCGACAGACCTGGTCTTCACCTGAGGACGGCTGCTTGCGTTGTGGCCGAAACGTCGTGAGAATTATTTATTGTGTTTTATTTGTATTATTTTATTACTTCCCTTCTACGTGACTTTACCGAAAGAACCAAGAAGATGAACGTTCCTCCATATAGCCGTAACAGACTGTTGGGGCAAGTTCAGTGAGCGAGCACCTATGATGGCCGGCACGAGGGGGTGGGTGGCCAACACCACGCCAGGCCGCCTTTGTCTCCCCAATGGCAATATTTACACACCACACCAGGTGCTCATTTGAGGCTGGAGTCGACGCAGGGAAGGCCCAGAACCGGTTCAGATAGAATCGTCACTGGTGGTGGTCATTAGTGACATAAACCTACACGTCACCGCTCCCCACACTACAGAGAACTTATGCCGATATGCAGGCGCCGTTGAGTTATATCTATTGGCCACACATTGAGTAGTTCGATCATTGCATGGTCAGGTTTCTTTCTGCAGGTTCACCGAGTAGTGTACACGTTTCTTGCATTGCCAATGGAGATAACCGCAGACGTAATTTGTTGAAATTTGGAATTTGAATGTCTCTCTCCCCGCTTCTCGCGTGGATTGTTCGCCGGATCCTGCGGGTTTTCCCCTCCACATTTAGAATCAACATGCGCCTATAGTATTTGTGGTTGCTATGAATTTACACGTGACAAGCCACTTCGTTGAACGATCATTCGTGGCCAGGTTGCTTCTGAGAAAGAGCCACACGACTCCGTGGGCCTCACCTGGTACAATAAAAAAAATATGATAGTTTTCGATTTAAAGCTTTCGTGACTGCAGGGATTCATCTTTTTGGTTCTTTCGGTAAAGTCACGTAGAAGGGAAATAATAAAATAATAAAAATAAAACATAATAAAATAATTCTCACGAGAAGACCTGTTCTTCACCTGAGGACGGCTGCTTGCGTTGTGGCCGAAACGTCGTGAGAATTATTTTATTATGTTTTATTTTTATTATTGTATTATTTCCCTTCTACGTGACTTTACCGAAAGAACCAAGAATATGAATATGATAGTTGAATACTTTCAAGTACAGAAGCCTTTTATAAAAGCATCATTCAATTATTTGTAACTCACTGCACCGACACCATCGAATTCACATTCGTTGAACACATTTGTTGTTTAGTTTAATGTATACGTCTTACGAGAGCGAGCAGAGTGGCTGTTGGAAGGGTGCAAAAACATCGACGGTCTTAGATTCCACAACGTACGAACGGGGCACGTCAGCAGAGACATTACTCACGGCTAAAAACCTGCCTCGCGCCTTCACGCTGCAATGAAACCAAGTTGACAGGCGTGTTCAACAGCCTCGTGCCGCCGCTTCTGTTGCGACGCTTTCAAAACGCATCGTCTAATAACGTACAAACTCGCAACGTTCGCGAACATTTACATTCAACACGGTGCACCCTCCGCTGTCGGCGGGTTTCATCAATGCATCCGTTAGTGTAGGGACGATGCATTTGCCAAAAGACAAAGCTCTTTAACCGAGGAGGTTACGTGTCTGCGTCTTTCGTTCGAACAGTTTGAAGAAAAATTTCTCACCCAATTCCCAAACGATTTGCATCGATGCTCTGGAGTTCCACCGGTGGCTCCATAGCTGTGTCCATGTAGAAGAGCCACAGAGGATTTGACCACAGCCCTTAGGCATCCACATCTACACAGCAAGCAGTCCGAAAACACTACATTTCTGATATTTGATATCAAACTCCACGAGTGCTAAAATATTAACTCGATGCGGACAGTTTCCCGTATCGCGTGTACACTCATTTACACACACACACGCACACACGGAATGTTGTTGCGTTTTTCAAACTCTTAGCAATCGTCATCGTCAGTGGCAGCTGTGATAAATCCACTGCTGGATTATGATAAAAAGTGTTTCTAATTTATCTTGCCGGATTCGTGCGTTTCTCATTCTGCCTCTTTCCAAGCATGCATCTCCACTTCCAAACATGCATCTCTCTATGTTTTCATCAGAATCGTCATGATCTATCTTCTGCTGCATGAATACCTATCCAAACCGTCGGCATCTCTAACGAATCTGCGAGCTGATTTCATCGCTCCATCTCTTTGAGGGATGCTCTGTCAGGTGTCTAACCCTTGGCTGCCACACCTTCATTATTTTTGTTACCATTGGCCCATGATTTAAAATACAACATTTGCAAAATGTATATGTGTAATTCTGCATATATTAATATCGATGTTTTTTGTTTTCTAAACGACACATGCATCGAATTACGAGCAGAAATCTATGTTTTTCGACGTTTAAAATCTTGAACGTCTTCATGGAATAACATGCCCCACCCAGCCACCAGAGGCCGCTACATTCAACACAATTATGACAAAAAAATCAAGAATCGAAACGAGACAATCCATAAATGACAACATAGGAATATGAAATTTCCAAGGTGACTCATGGCTGTGGTTACCACAGTGTAAACAATGCGTTGACTTGAGTGGTGTCTTCGTATTATCATTTCACAACTGACAAAAGCAGGGACCTTTAATTTCCTGGGAAAGACTTACAGATTGCCCGGGATAACTGCCTCAACAAGAGGACGATCCGGGGATAACCAGTACAGGTGACAACCCTACGCATGCCATCTCAACGATCGTTAATTTGACGGGGTAACGTACCATTGGTGGACTATCAGAAGTTGTACAAATGCCCACTACTTACGTAGTCCAGTAGGACCTCCCCCCCAAAAAACCACCCAGAATACAGCGATTGAATTGGCCTTTTGCAGAGGACTATACTCGCAAACATCTGCAAGAACGGTGACAATCTCCACAACATACGCGACCTATGGCCCAAAAAGGTGGCCCACAAAACTGGCTTCTCACCAAACAGGTTCACGGATGTATGTGATAAATTGGAGCACGCATAAATAATAACTGAGCTAACTCAGAGCCAATTAATCAGCGTCATTTGATGGTGGAGGGAAACCTCTTGGCAGTTTGCCTCGGAGTTATTATTAAACGGTCAATTTTAAACAGCATGGCTATTTTGATTCTAAAATAGTTTCACGTCGCTTTGAAAAGAATTGAAATAATTTAGCACACTTGGCTACATACACTGCGAAAAAAGTTCAACATAAGTGATGTATATTTACAGGGATATACATATTTAATCTAACCATTGCAATTGAATGTGTAGTTATATGTACAATATCATCATCATTAACATGAACATTCGTTATTTATCCACTACTTGCAAGAAGGCTTCTCAAAGCCCAAAGCCGACGTAATTCCTCATGGTCAAATGATGCCACAATCCATTTCATTCCAGAATGAACTGATCATCCTACCGCTCCATCGATGTAGTGGACATATACTTTTATATTTCTTCTCTTCCTTTGGCTGCCATTCACCAGTTTCATATATCAGCCACCATTCCTTCTAACAATATGTCCTGCCAGAACCAACTTTGCTTTTCCTAACAGGCAACTTGAGATCTCGAGCTTGCATTATATCTCTGAATCACGCTCTCTTGTCTCTGTATCTCGCTGGGTGCAGTGGTGAATGTCACGGCTACAGTGGAATTCATGAAAAAAATTGGTCGAATTTGAGTACAAATGAGTTACAAAACTAAATTTTCACAAAAATAATACGGTAGTGCATGTGTAAATTAATGAATTTACACCATAGAGAACGATATACATAATCGTTGATTGTATGAAATATTGAATTTTAAATCTATCGTGATCAAATAATTAAGTATGAATTCAGGATCTTCTGACAAAAAAAAATCATTTTGAGGAAATAATTTGACAATTTTCCATTTAATTTTATTTCAATTCCTTCTTCACAATTACATATTCGGGTTTTCTTTGAATTCCTTCACGACCATATGCTTAGAGGAATAAGCGTCAATTCAGGGTGACATGGTGCGTATACACTCACGCCCTCTAACATTAACAGATTAAACGGATGCCCTACTTATATTCTTTTGGCCTGCATTGCAGAGCTGCTGATATGACATTAAAGAAAGGAGAATTGCAACTTGAAATACATTAACCAAAAATTGAAACTCGGCTTTCATGTGCCTCTGTGCATCATCTAAGTGAATGGTGTATGCCAAACGGCTAATGTAATTAGGTAAGAAAAGTTAAACGCAAGCTGAAACTTTTTTATATTTATTTTAACACGATAACGTTTTCACTTAAACCGTACCTCCGATATGTACAATGATTTCATTCGCAAGAGTAGGCCATTGTGCAATTGTGTCATAACCAAAGTCTTAAATTTGAAAATCACTCGTGAAAATATTGTATGCATATATCCCTCTTCCTGAAAACATAGGTTCTCAAATAAAAAATAAAGGTACATTTCAATGGGTCTTTGGCCGGTTAAAGACTGGATCCACAGTATAACTGGTTTTCCCAGGGACAACCTCATGTGTAAATCTGTAATGATTGCCACAAACGTACAATCACCATACATGACGATAATTGTATAGCTCCAAAAGCCTCAGAAGATATAAATTTAAATTCTTTGAGGAAAGAGCAGCATTATGTGATTTAACATGGTTTTAATATTTGATAATGGTTGAGTTCAGGTGGAATGCTAAAGTGTGTAGAGGGCATTTAAAGGTTGTGTCGCATGGAGGACAGTGTTACATAATTACTGTATGTGCGTGATGAATTGCAAATGTAGCACTTTACCAATTCCCAGTGAATGCAAATTATTCTAGATTTATGATATACAGTAACTACATTTATTTTCAGAGCATGCGTTAATTATTCCTGGCAAGAGACATACGTTATATATACATTTGGTTTAAGGGGTAATGTCACAGCATATTGAGGCTAAATTTCGTCATATCTTACTTTCAGTGTGATAGTTTCAGGCGAGTAACGTGTTAAACACGAATATATATAACCGCCTAAGATAGTAGGAAAATAAATATTCTATTTAAATATTAAACATGGAAAGAATCACGTGCACTATGGTGCCTTGTAAGTTATTGTGGTACAAAGTATACGTGCCATTTATAGTAAGAGCAATTGCCTTATAACGACAATCTAACTTCATTACGATGATATATATTGCAGCTCCAAGGGATATATTCACAAAGGAAACATTATCACGGCGTGATGATTCACAAAGGAAGCAGTTCGCGTTACAGCGCTAAGCAATTTAAGTAAAAGATGCGCATAGCCACCACCAGATCACCACAGCTATCAGATGTGGGAAGCTAAGCTCAGTTGAACCTGGGTTGATCACCACCAGGGCTTGCCGGGTGTTGTAGCGGTGAGGATGAGAGATGGCAGGAGATGGCAGTAGTGAGTGCTACCAGAATGAGAAGATTTATACTGGTAGGAACTTCCTGGTTACACCAGCCCACAGGGGATTATTGTGTCAGTCGTGCAGGGAGGGGCTGCGTGGGGAGGGAGGGGCTGAGTGGGGAGGGTGGGGAGGGGCTGGGTGGGGAGGGTGGGGCTGGGTGGGGAGGGCTGGGTTAGGAGGGGAGGGTGGGGATGGGCTGTGTGGGGAGGGTGGGGAGGGGCTGGGTGGGGAGGGTGGGGAGTGTGGGGCTGGGTGGGGGGTGGGAGGGGTGGGGCTGGGTGGGGAGGGGCTGGTTACCCCGTGGTACCCTTATAAAACTCAACGTTTAACCTACTCACGCCGGCTTGTGCCCGCCCTCACAGTCGGGGAAATTTGCGGAATACACCACGCCGCCGTTGACCCTGGCCATTGACCGAGCAACCCGACGTTCCTACCAGCTCCCTCCGCAGGAGGAATGTGTTTTTATACTGGAGGAGGAATCCGATGAGCTATAAAGCTCTTTGTCACATGTCCTGTCGGGGCGGGTCAGAACGTTACAACAAGAAACAATGCCACAACACGATAGGAGTGCAACGTATAGGAAAGGTAAACAAAATACTTTAACAAATATACAATTAAAACGAAACTATTTTTCAGAAGCGACCTGGCCACAAATGATAGTTCAACGAAGTGGCTTGTCATCACGTGGAAATAGATAGCAGCGAAATAAGGGGCCGGCCATAAATGACGTCACGCACCTAGGGCGGGGGGGGGGGTCAGACATTTGTGACGATGTGTGACGAGGGGGGGGGGGTGAGAAATGTGACGTCACATCAAAATGCGCAACTTTAAATATATATAGACAACACGTTCTACTTAATTAAATATACTTTTTAATATATTTTTTTTATCCTACAACATCAGAGTGCAGCGCCACATTAAATACGCACTACAATGACAATAGTTTAAAGCGATTTGAAGCATGTTATTTTTTTTGGGGGGGGGGCAGAGCTTTGTGACGTCATATTTGAGGAGGGGTCTGACTTTTTGTGACGCCGTGTGACAAAGGGGGGGGGGGGGGGGTCAAAAATCGTCCAAAATCGCGTGACGTCATTTATGGACGGCCTCTAAAATAAAAATCTAAACGCGTGTTTCTAAATGTGGAGGAAAAAACCGAAGAACCCGGATTTAAAAAATCGACGCGACCACAGGGAGAGACACCGCAAACTCCAAATATACATACTCTTAGGTTTTTTCGGCAAAGTCACGTAGGTAAAAATAAGTAAATAATAAAATAATAGAAATAATAGAATAAAATAATAATTATTGTATTTCTATTATTATTTCTATTTTTTTTTTTACCTACGT